CTGTTTCCTTTTGTAAAGTTAGAAATGCAACCAAACCTCTTCCTGTAAGATCATATTTATCTTAATAAGAATGAAGTATTAGCCGATTCAAAAAATTTTTTACAGAAGAATCAATTTTTTTCTAGATATTTTTCACCTTTCTAACTACTTAAAGTTTCTTCCGCCACTCAAGATATCATAGCGAGACAAGCCCATGTTTCTAACTTTTAGTTCGATTTATTTGACTGCTTGATTTGATTTTTTTTAATCTATCTGATTACAAAAACTCAAACCATGAACCTGTTGGAGAAACCACTAATGCTAATCTCAAACATACGAACACTTGCAATGATATGCTTTAATCACCTGTGATCAATACAATGCAAGGTTGACCTTTCACTAAAATTCTTCAATTCGTGGCTGAGAGATTCTAGGGGTCGAGTTATATTCTCTTCCAGCTCAATATCAACACGTTCCTCCATCATTTTATGATGACTTTTCACATCATGAACGTTCAGCACCAATTTCTGTTGGAGCTTCCTCATGTCTTCTTCGAGGCCTTCTTCTATCACTTTGTTACTCTGGGTCAACAGTTGGTTTTCGATCGCTTTAGCAGATTTACCTCTGAGATACTTTTGAGACGAAAACAACTCGTTTTCTATCTCTTTATCCTTCTTCAGATTGTATCCTTCCAAGTCTTCTTGCATCTTCGATTTGATCTTATCAATTTCTTTCACTATAGCTTTTTTCTTCTTCGAGATAGTTTTCACTTTATGCGTTATAGTAGCCGCAGCTACAGATTGGTTAAGCACGAAACTAGAACTAGCGCTAGACTTGTAATCTCTGAGCCTACTTTGAGCACTTCTCTCGACTTTTCGCGACATCCTCTCCAATTCGTCTTCAGTATAGCTCTTGATCTTCATAGGATCAAACTGTTCAAGACCCAGCTCATTGGTCCAAGGCATATGAGGGATTTCAACCTTTTTACCACTGTCTCGATCATCCAGGTATTTCACCATGGGTTGATAGAAGCTCGATCCATATCCATAATTGTACTCGAACGTCTTTGTCTGAGGACGCCATTTTGATTCCTTGGACACTGCCATGTGTCCGTCAACACCGATCAACTGGTATTTGGGCCACACGCGGGTTACTTATATAGCCTCTTATTATCATTATCAACGCCAAACCAATCAAATATTGGCGTTTCAGGGTTACATAAATTTGGAGGTGCCAATTTTTTGCATGAGTTATAATGCTAATTTATCTCTCAAGGCGATAATTGAAAACTTATTTTGATAGACCGAAAGCTGGGAGAGTTACGGTAGCAACAAACAGTTATTTATATTTACTATTAATAGTATATGAATCTGAATTGGATTATAGTGACGCCAGATCATCGATCATCTAAGCAAATGTGTTTTCATTTTATATCTATTTAATGACAGCGATATTTTCGAGCACATTGAACCTTACTTCCTCTAATTCTTTTTTCACTGCAAAAAACCACATACTGACATAATTTTTCCTTAGTTGCGTGCCTTGAGGTGCTATGGATCAGCAAGTATTTGTGGGTGAGACGAATCTTTTGGCTGTTCAAGATTGCTATTGATCAAACGGATAAAGGTCTGCTTTGAGCCAACCAAATAATGTTTTCAATAATGCTAGAGCCAGCAAGCATTTCCTTTAGATCTTTCATCATAGAGAAAGTCGCTACCCACTATCAATCTCGTTGTCTCCAGTTCAAGACCGAAGAGTTGCGCGGGAAGAAGTACCACATTATCAAGGATGAGAATACTACCATTTTCACAAAAGCCAAACCCAGGATTGAAAATCAGGGCGCCAAGAACTGCATATACCAGGTTCCATATAAATGTGGAAAGGGGAGACTACTGGTGGTGAGGATTAAGAAGCATCGACTTCACACTCAATAGGCCGAAACTTAGAAATCACGGATAGCAGGACCCGAGAGAACACCAAGAAATAAACTGGAAGGTCACCAACATCATATATACAGAAGCACACTGGTGTCATCAAAAACTCGAGGAGGCAGCTTATACAGGGTGTTTCAGTTTATTGTTGCATAACTTTAAGATTCGATAGAACTTTTAAAATTAATGCATAAAGTCTATATATAAACATGGGTCGAAAAATGCGTGGCTTCCGAAATACAGGGTGTTAAAATTTACCTTCTGAAATAGTTTTTTTTTTAAATATTTCGAACAATATTTGATGTATAACAGTGAAAATTCGCACTTTTCAACATAAAAAAGCTCTCCTGTGAGTTTTCGTTATAATTAGCCGTTTTTGAGATATTTCGATTTTTAATGTTCGATGCATTTTTAATTATTTGTGGGAAAATAATATTTTTTTTACATTTTCGATTTGGGCATTACAAGTAATTAAGATGATCGTTTAGATTGTGTTTTTGAACACCAATAATTCCTAACTCCAAATAAACACAAAAAAACAGAATACTAATTTGTTTAATTTTCCAATATTATTTTTAACAAATTGAATTAATTATTTACAACTAAAATGCTATTGGACAGTTAGGACAAACATACAAAATCTAAAGTAGTTGCTCGAAATGTAAACCCAATTGTTCAATACACAATTCACATCTACGAATGGTCGAACGTAGTATAGCATTATTCAAAAAGGTCTTGTTTCATCACATGCATTCCTGATTCTGTCTATTAGCATATCTCTTGTGGTTACTGGAGTCTGGTACACTTTTTCTTTTAGAAATCCCCACACAAAGAAATCTAATGGATTTAGGTCAGGGGATCGTGGAGGCCAGGCGACTGGTCCTCTACGGCCGATCCATCTTTCTGGATAATTTTCGTCCAGCCAGTTTCTAACTATTCTCGAATAATGAGCTGGACAACCATCAAGCTGGAACCAAGGCAATCTTCTTAAATCTAACATAACATCATCCCAAATATTTGCATGTTCAGCCTTTAAAAATTCCAAGAAGGTCGCAGTATTTAACCTTGCAGGCAAAAGGTAGGGTCCAAATAGTCGATTACGGTAGATACCAATCCACACTAAATTCATGCTGAAAATTTCTTTCCCGAACTGCATGCGGATTTTCATGCGACCAAATATGTTGATTATGAAAATTTACCACTCCACGTCTAGTGAAGCATGACTCATCGGTCCATAAAACGTTACTTAAAAACTCCCTATTATCATCAGTTCTATCAGGAATCCACTGACAAAATGTGATTCTTCGTTCTCCGTCCCCTGGCTGTGGTCCTTGCACAAGTTGCAAATGGTAAGGACGTCTATGGTCATTTCTAAGAACACGGTGAATATGGCTTGCTGAAATTCCCAAGGCACCAGAAACTCACGCAGAATCATACGGGTAAATCTGCGCTGACGAACATTTATGTTTTGATCACTTTCCAAAACCATTTTCAATTTTGGCGATGCACTCTTACAAATACTGAGCGAGTTGGATGTCGTCTGTTTGGAAATCTTCGTGCGTATTCTCTGGCTGCTTCTGCTGCGTTTCCATTTACAAAGCCATACACAAAATGAATATCCGCTAACTCTTGATTGGAGAATAAAAATGGCATTTTTATAAAACTTACAAAAAAACAGGTAAAAGAAACTAAATTTCGTGCATTCACAATTTCAAAAAAACGTTTCAGGTTTCAACAGACAACAAAACTACCTGTCAACTAATTGACGTTTAACCTTATTCTGCTTTCAATTTGCAGACACAGCCTACTTCTAAAAATGATCGAGATACTGACTTTTTAACGTTATTTTATCGTAAATAATTAAAAATGCATCGAACCTTCAAAATCAAAATATCTCAAAAACGGCTAACTATAACGAAAATTCACAGGAGAGCTTTTTTATGTTGAAAAGTGCGAAGAATCAGTTTTTTATTCAAGAAGCAAAAAATTGCACTAAGAAAAAATTTTCGGTCATTTTAATACACTACAGGTACAGTAGAGAGCGCCCTCTAGCGGCTACAGTAGAAATATGGTTCGTTTTGTCGTACCAAAAAACCCTTGTATACCAATTTTCACTGTTATACATCAAATATTGTTCGAAATATTTAAAAAAAACTATTTTAGAATGTAAATTTAAACACCCTGTATTTCGGAAGCCACGCATTTTTCGACCCATGTTTATATAGACTTTATGCATTAATTTTAAAAGTTCTATCGAATCTTAAAGTTATGCAACAATAAACTGAAACACCCTGTATATCCAACAACAGCAACGTGTACAGTAATGCCAGCGTAGAAATCTAACCAATATGGGGGGCTTTCATCAGCAGCATCAAAAAGCTATAGTTAGAACAACCAATAACAGTATAAATAGCCGTGAAAGGGACATGTATGTCAGTTCGCCTGAAGACGATTAACGATAACTTATCAATCGTAACGTTGTGATCTAAAAATTGTATAGACAATGGAAGTCAAATTTTTAACAACTGAAATGTTCTACATGCATTTCTTATGAACCACCTCAAATAAGCCTTTTTTCAATGTACTGTCATCGATTGCAGCATTATTACGCTAATTGGAAAATAGCCACATAACTGATTACCTCACATTTTTAGTTTATCAATGTGGAGGTCCAAATCGTTCACGACTTGTACACGAATAATTGAAAATTTTTAGGTACCTACGATTGTTTTTTTTTGTGTAATTCAACTAGTAAAAGTGTCCTAAAGGTACCCTATTATAGTTAATAGGCTCATAGTCACACTACTAAGAATAGTAGAAACTATATTAATGCTTTAAAGCTGACGCACTCTCAGCAATGATATCGGTATACAAACTGTGCCTCCATTCTTTAAATTCTCCAGCAGCGTACGTCTATACGTAAATACGGTAATATTTGCTTTGCTTTAAAGAATTGGTCTTCCAATATGCGCATTATATGCCTTGTGGGTGAGACCTTTTCAATCGGTGTATACCAGTCCAAATACTGACTATTATCATCAGTTTAGGAACTTTGAATAGAAATTAAGAATAACTCCACTCATTACTCACCGAATGGCCTCAATTTCTTCATCCTTTTCTTGCAGGCGTTTCTCAGCTTCATGACGGAACTGGCACAGCTCAGCAGATAGGCGTTGAGCGCGTTGTTCTTCAGCTCTACGACCCTAGAACAAAAAAAGTTTGAGGCAACTTTCATCTGTATCCTAACTTGTCAGCAGAAAGAGATTTCATATCGAATATATTCACGAATGCTTCTGGATATTTCCATCATATTTATTTTTAGTTACTGTCTACACTGCTACAGAAAGCTACCTTCAACATTATTTTATGCTTATGCGCTATTATTTATTTATTAAACATTGGGAAAATATGAGGAAAATTTAATATATTGACAGGCAGTGCTATAGGCGTGACGACACGATATCGGCAAGTGAGCACTACAATTGGTTAACCCCTTTTTCAGCATAGCTGTCAACACCGCTTGGCACCGATCCTGCTGCCATCAGCAGGAGAATTTCGCTGCAAAGACGACGTCGGAAAAACAACAAAAGAAAGATAGAACCTTTTCAAACTTGACAAATCATCACAGTAATTTAACCAGTGGCGTAGTAAGGAGGCGGGCGCGGGCGGGCCGCACCGGATGTTACCTTTTTTGGGCTGACATCCACCCGAAGATGTACTAAACATAAAAAAATTGCACAGATTGCATTGCAAAGTAAAGGCTTAACTGTTGAGGAAACTGCTACAAAAATATGGGCACTTCGTCTTTATATCGAAGAAAAACTGGGTCACATTTTGGAAGAGGCAATAGATATTGTTACAAAAATGTTGCATACACTTTCAAAATTTCACAGCGTATCATTGAATTATCTAAGAAAAAAAGTAAACAGTTTAAAATCAAATAACAACTGTGCCGAAATGACTACTAAAAACGTGCTGAAAAACTGTTTCGAAATTTTGGGATATCCTGTATTAAATTGGATCAATTGTTCACTGAGAAGCAGTTCTTTCCCTGAAAATTTGAAATGCTCTACAATAACACCAGTTCCCAAAATAAAAAATTCTAAAAGATGCAGCGATATGAGACCAGTAAATGTGTTACCAGACATTGAAAAATTATTAGAGTCCATAGTGCATGACCAATTAATGCAGTTTATAGAAGAAAACAAAATTATAGTGGAGGCGCAAGCAGGCTTTCGAAAAAAATATTCCACAGAAACAGCTTTCCAGTGGGTAACTGAGAATTGGAGAAGAGCCATAGACTCAGATGAAGTTGTCATAGCAGTATTTTTGGATGTGAAGAGGGCATTTGAAACGATTGATAGAGATATTTTGTTAGGTAAATTGAAGGCATATGGTATAACAGGAAGTGTTTTAGATTGGTTTAGAAATTATTTGTCTAAAAGGATGCAAGTTACAAAAGTTAATGACACTATTTCATCAAAAATTGAAAATACGTTGGGTGTTCCACAAGGCAGTATCCTGGGACCACTTCTTTTTATTTTATACATAAATGATTTACCTGCCATAGTCAAAAAATGCAAAATTCAGATTTTAGCCGATGACACTATGATTTATATAAGTACTAAAAATATTCAGTCTGGTATCTCTCATATAAATGAAGACTTGAAGCTTGTCTCAAAATGGTTAGCATCTAACAGACTAAAATTAAATGCAAGTAAAACGAAAGCCTTGTTAATCGGAAAAAAACAATGTACAAATATTCAACTGAATATTGATGGTGAAGATATTGAATTCGTAGAAAATTTTAAATACCTGGGGGTTTTTATTGACTCTTGATTAATTTTTGATATTCATTATGAAAAAGTTATAAATAAGATTAGTAGTAAAGTGGGATATTTATCGAGAGTTTCTGGATGTCTGAGTTCATATAGCAGAAAAATTATCTATAATACCATCATTCTTCCAAATTTCTTGTACTGTTCGACTATTCTATATTTAGCAAATAATTCCATTTTTGAAAGACTGCAAATTTTACAAAATAAGTGCATGAGAATAATACTAAATAAAGATAAATATACTCCAATTAGGCAAATGCTTGCAAATTAAAATGGCTCAATGTAAAAAATTTTATCAAATATCTTGTAATGATATTCATTTATAATGTAAAAAATAATATATTTCAATCAAGTCTAACTAATTTAACGTCATTAAATGTCGACCATCATTTACATAATACCGGAAATAAAGATGACTTCCATTTAATGACCAAAAAGTATAACATATGCTACAAATCTGTATCCCATCAAGGGTTGATTGAATATAATAAATTATACTCGGAGATAAAAGACCAGAAAACTTTGACAAAATTTAAAGTAAAATTGAGAAATCACTTGTTAAATCTACAATTATAGGTTGCCCAGCATTTACATCATACACCATATGGCTTGAATTTACTAGTTCTAAGTTGTTTACAATTGTTCTGTTTATGTAGCCAAATTTGCTAAATAAATATTTCTACTACTACTACTAAAATCAGAAGACTACGGTATTCCAACAAAAAGACGACTTCATCGTAAAAAAAGGGCGGTTGGTGAGATGGTCAGTGATGCAGGACTCACAATGAAAGAAGAACTTCAAAAATATATGTTTTAATGTTTTAGCCGATTCAGAGTTTAACTCAAGTCTCTTCAAGAACTAGCTTGATTGTTCGAGATCTTACAAAGAAATAATTTGCTTTTGCCGAATACAATACATCGAAATTTACTGATTTTTATGATGAGATATCAATACTGCGAACACATTTAAAAGCCGCTAATGTTACAGTTTCTGATTGGGTATTTCTAGATTTTAGGTTTATTGTAGAATGGGATTTTAAAGAATCTCTTCCAAATCTTATGATTGCACTAAAATTGGTCATGACGGTTTGTGTGTCCGTAGCTTCATGTGAAAGGAATTTCAGTAAACTAAAATTAATAAAAAAAATTATTTGCGGGCATCAATGACCCAATCGCGGCTTAGCAATCTTGGTATATTAGCCATCGAACACGAGCCAATACAAATTATAAATTTTGATGAAGTTATTTCTGAGTTTGCAGCTGTCAAAGCTAGAAAGAAGAGGTTTTAATTGTAAGATAAAAATATTTTTTCTGTCTTAGTTTTTATTGGGTTTTGTTATTTGTTAAATATTTTAAATATAAATATTAAATGATCTAAGACGTTTAAACAACGGTTAAACAACGTCATGGACATTGCACATTTAAATAGTTAATTTAAAAAAGTACAGATATTTTCTTGAATGAAATATGTGTTTATGGTATTGTATTGACATAAATAATCAATAGAACAAAAAATGCATATTTCCTATTTCTTGCGAGATTTGAGAACTACCCGAGATGGGTACTCCTGTCATTTTGCGGTTACAAAATAAGCGTCTATGAGTTCCACCCATAGTACGATTTTTTCCAAAATCCTCATATTAATAAGTTTTATAAATAATAGACGTCTTAAATATTTTATATGAGAAACACTGGACAACAAATTTTAGTTTTTTAATTGTATCTTGTGGGAAAAGTGCACTTCTTTGTTAATTTTGGGGCGCTGAATCCAAAAATGACAATGACATAAAAAAATTAGTTGCGGTTTAGAAAAAAACTTTTTATTTTTAAGGATATATTAAAAAAAGTAACAAGATTCATATACTTATAAGAATCACTATATGCGCTGTCTTTTTGCTGTTCTTTTATGGATCGTTTCTGGAGCATCTCTACCAAGAGTCCAACAGTAGTCTGCAAGCATGGAAGGATTCCACTTTCCCTGGTACCTTTTTTCCATTGTTGAAATATCCTGATGAAAACGTTCGCCGTGCTCATCACTTACAGCTCCGCAATTGTCAGGAAAAAAGTCCAGGTGTGAGTGCAGGAAATGTATCTTAAGAGACATATTACAGTCCATCTTTTGATACGATGACAGCATAATTTTGACAAGGGTTTTATAGTTGTCAGCTTTTCTATTTCCCAAGAAATTAGTGACCACCAGACGGAAATCATTCCAAGCAGTTTTTTCAATACCTGTTAAAGTGTTTTCAAACTGTGTATCTTTCAAAATATTTCGAATCTGTGGCCCAACAAGAATACCTTCTTTAACCTTTGCCTCACTTAGTCTTGGAAATTTCTGACGCAGGTATTGAAAAGCTGACCCATCTCTATCTAATGCCTTGACAAAGTTTTTCATTAGGCCCAACTTGATATGCAGTGGTGGTAATAAAATTTTTTTCGAATCTACTAATGGCATATGCTGTACATTTTTTTGACCTGGCTCTAGGAATTGACGAACAGGCCAGTTTTGTCTGGTGTAATGAAGTGCCTTTGCCCGTCTGTCCCATTCACACAAAAAACAGTAAAACTTTGTGTAGCCTAGCTGCAGCCCAAGTAAAAGTGCAACAACTTTCAAATCGCCACAAATATGCCATTGGTGCTCATCGTATTTTATGCATGTCAATAGGTACTTCATATTGTCATATGACTCTTTCATGTGAACTGCATACCCTACAGGAAGAGATGGTAAAATATTTCCAATATGCAATAACACTGCCTTTAAACTCAATGTTGAACTGTCTATAAACAATCTCCATCCTTCTGGGTTATAGTTTATATTTAAAACCGCCAAGTTATTCTCCATATTGAAAAATGGTCTTTGTGGCGTTTACGAAAAACACATACCGAAACATCGTCTTCTAACAAGTTCCACTGCTGCAGTCTTGATCCAAGTAACTCTGCCTTACATTTTGGAAGTTCTAAATCTCTTACAAGATCATTTAATTCTGACTGTGTTATTTTGTGCGGTTGGTGGCATGACGTGCTCGGTATAAAATCAGGATCTCTTGACGTTGATGGCATATCTTCTTCCTGACGAATCACTCGATCGCCATGATCTGATTCGTTTTCTGATTCGCAAGTGTAGGATTCTGGGGGTTTTGGAATAGGATTTTCGTCACTGTGAGGCACAGGTCTCATCGCAGATGGTATGTCTGGGTAGTTAATAACCGACTTTTTTTTCTTGGACATACCTGTGACTTGTCCAACACAAGGTACCATGCAAAAGTAACAATCATTAATATGATTTGTAGGCTCTCTCCAAACCAATGGGACAGCAAAGCGCATAGACCGTTTTTTGCCATTCAACCAGCTCCTCAGACTTGAAGCACATGTATTACAGCAGATGTGGGGTGCCCACTGTTTGTCTTGATCACCTAGTTTACAACCGAAATAAAGCTGATATGCCTTTGTTATTAGTGGAGTAATAGACCGTCTGTGAGACGCAAAAGTCACATCACCACACACGTAACAAAACTGATCTGGATTGTTTACACACTTTCGAGACATCTTGCATGAACGCTGTCAGCCAACTGAGGAAAAAATGGCTAATATGAAACAATATAATGTACACGTATGTATAACGTAACACAATCATGCCGATTACATCATCTTTCCTTGCCGAATATAAAAATGTAGCACGTGCGTTCTTGTGAATTACAGTATATTAACACTGTCACAACTTGAACTAATATTGAAAAAATAAGTTTCATTCCGGTTTTAGCACATTAAAAATAGTAATATTTTGTTGATTTTATTTAGGATATTTTTTGGCTGTTGATCAGTGAAATTAGCGAAGTGACTGATACTTACAGACTCGGCTTCCTTGTAAGCAGCTGTGAGTTCATCACGTTCGTTCTCCAGACGACGGATCTCCAGTTCAGCTTCGTGGAGACGGCGAGTAAGTTCAGAGATGGTAGCCTTCGCATCACCCAAATCGTCTGCAAAGGGAAGAAACCATCAGAATTCAACATTGAATAATACAGTCCATTTACTTTTGTATAGAGATTTGTACATGTTGTTATACTCTGGTACCGAAAAGGAAGAGAGCAGCAATTCACGCCACTGGTGGTGCCTTCGAACTGAATAAGATATTCCGCGGTGGCAGTGGCGTGCGACATGTTTTGATGTTCTCTTCCTTTTCGTTACCCGCATATAAGGTTTGGATAAATTTTCCAATTTTTGGTGACAGGTTTAGCTACCCAACTAAAAATTAGCACTCCTATTAGAGTTGCAAGAATGATTATACAGTATTCCTTAAACAACATTGTATACTGTAAGAACATTAGCAACACCCTCTTAGAACAGCTATACAAGCGGAATGGGCACACCTAATAGGACACTTCAGTCATTTAAGAGGTTGTGTAAGGGCTGCAGGTAACAGTTATTCAACAAAAGTGTAAGTCTCTTGCAGCCGCTATAGGACATTTGCGTCAGTGCAAGATTCAGTTTTTGTCAACTATACAACTATTCTGTTACGTGATTCTATTTTAATGCAACCAAACTATTTCTTATGTATTGTATAGACGAACACATTACAGTCATCTTGTTTACTTACATATCGGCCATTGTGAATTTCATACACAGGTATATGATAAACTTCTACACTTTGATATAGGGCTATTGAATTACTTGCACAGCAAATTTTATTGTGATTATCGTGCAAATTAGTTACCCAATTTTTACGGGCATCGTATTTGATTCATATTTTGACAATGATCAAAAGTATGTCTAGATTTTTAAGATGGAAAACTGAACTTATCTGCGTCAAATCTTCCACAAATCCTATATTTAGGCACAATTACACTAATGTTTATCACTTTATATCTGTAATTTCGAACTGAAACATAATTATTTAATATTAAATAGAGGAATAAATGTTTGCCCAATATGGCGGGTGGTTGTGTACAATCATGGCATCGTCCATGTTGTCTTTAGGTTACTAGAATATTTTCTTGTTGCCTGCAGGTGTTATACAACAATTTAACAAATGTCTGAAATGAAATACCGACAGAGTCGAATGATTTACGCAGAATTTGTACCAGATCTATATCTTCTGTTTGAACAGTTGATAAAACCTTTTGAACCGATATGCATGCGTTGTTTGTCTTAAAACATTGGTTATGGCATTTTCACAAAAATATGACAGCAGAAAGTTAGGTTATGGTGAAGTTGTTTACCAACATATTTAGCATATGTAACAGTTGTATAAGTGCTTCCGTTGGGAGCAATTTGTTGGCTAATGTAGTAAATTGCACAGCAAAACAACAAGGCTCGGGTTTGTTTTATAAGCGTTAGCATGGGTGCCACAACACAACCATTTTGACTAACTTGCAAATATGCCGTATAAAATAGTTTTATAAACGTTTATGGAACAGTTAAAAATTTGCCCTATAAAGTGTTGTACAACTATGCTATGAGAATATTTTAAACACCTCATTTTAGAGCAAATATGTTGCAGAAAGCAAATTTGCATTCCACACATCGTTAAGCCAGCATTTTGGTGTTCAGGCAACAACAATAGAGAGCTTTTATGGCTGAACGGTTCTTTTACCAAAAGCTTACACCACTACTTTGCTAGTTGGGTATAGCTTTTATATGGGGGGAATCCAAAATATAGTGAAACCATATGATCTATAGATTATTCATTCATTTTAGAACTTGCAAACCTAATTCACATGTTCCAAGCATAAGATGTTTCAGAATTGAGGCGCACCGACCGTCGATATTAACATTTTAATGCTGGAGAGATATTTTTTAGGGCTCGAAATGAGAGGCAGCTGGAATACTGAGACCAAGAAATCAATCCTAGCTACGCGCCTATAAGCACAGTGTTGTCGTATACAGGGTAGCAGAAAAAAGTTATGATAAGTTATTTACCGAGATAGTGCAGTAAGTGGCGTCCTCTAGAAGTTTGACCATGAAAAATAACGGATTCTTGTTTCTGATACTAAAAACCCCCCTATACAGAGTCTTATGCCAAAATCTGAAATTGGGGTTGTCCAAAACAGACGCAGGAAAGTATTCGCATATTAAAACAAGAAAGATTGATATTCCAATCAAGTCGGGTACTTTATTTTGAAGGTTCATTTATACCATTTATGTATGAAAAATAATATCGCTCAAATGTTAACCATGACTGGATTCACAGACGTCCACGCGATGGTCGAAATTTTCAATGACATTTTGCAACATGGTCGGTTCTATGGCATTTATCTCGGCAATGATGTTGTTTTTGAGTTCTTGGAGGGTGGCTGGTTTGTTGACGTAGACTTTGCTTTTCAAATATCCCCATAAAAAGAAGTCCAAGGGAGTCAAATCGCACGATCTTGGTGGCCATGGCACATTTCCTCTGCGCGAAATCACGCGATCACCAAAGAAGGACTGCAATCGATGGATATTGACGTTGGTTGTGTGGCATTTTGCACCGTCTTGTTGGAAATAAACATCGTCCATATCCATTCCTTCAAGTTGCGGCAAAAAATAGTCCTCTGTAATCACGTGATATCGCTCAGAATTGACGGTAACGGTGTCCCCGGCCGCATTTTCGAAAAAGTAAGGTCCGATGATGTCTTTTGACCACAATGCACACCACACAGTCACTTTTTGAGGACGCATCGGCTGCTCTTGATACTCACGGGGATTTTCGTTCGTCCAGATGCGGCAGTTTTGCTTGTTTACCGTCCCATTCAAAGTGAAATGCGCTTCGTCGATAAACATGATGTTTGATGAAAAATTGGCATCAATCTGGCGGTGTTCAAGGAGCCAATCCGAGAACGTTCGGCGCGAAAAATGGTCTGCCCGACGCAGCTCTTGCGTCAATTGGATCTTGTAGGCGTGTACATTCAAATCCTTGTGGAGAATGCGGAGCAAACTGGTTCTCGAAATGCCCAATTCTTGGGATCGACGCGTTATTGATTGTTTCGGATCGTCTCTCACACTCTCCTTCACAACAGCAATATTTTCCGGTATGCGAACGCTCCTTGGCTGGCCAGAGCCTGGCAGATTTGCCACAGAACCTGTTGCCTCGAATTTACGCACCAGACGACCGATGGTTGTTTCGTTTGGGCGGTTGTTGCGACCGAAATGTTCACGAAGCGCGCGAAACGTGTTTTTTATTTTTGCACCATTTTTGTAGTGCTCTTGAATAACTTTAATGCGGTCTTCTATCGAATACGACTCCATAGCGATAAATTGTAAACATTCAACTAACAAAATGACATGTCGGTGACAGAAAACAAAGATGGCGTCTATGTCAAATTTACGTTTACTTTCCTGCAGCCCTATTGGATAACCCATATATACTTCTCAGGCAATAAGGAAAAATATAAAATAAAATTGTAACTTTGACACCCTGTATCTCGCAAACTATCCACTTTTGGATAAAGGTATGTTTAGGTCAATTTACATATTCCGGTCTGTAGTATCAGTATTTGCTGTGGTACTAAAAATAACATCGTTTTTGTTTCATTTTAACTATGATAGCGGTATTTTTTCAAGGATAGCTAATGCTTCCTTGTAAGGCCCATCAACAAATTGACAGTTGGCCTTGCTAGGAGAAAATATTTTTATGTTTAAGTCATTTTCACGAATATATTCTCAGTCTTAAGATACCGTTCAACTGAGTGTTTTTTATGAGAATATATTATTGCAAATATTTAATGTCTCGTTTTAATGAATGACCTCTATATGTAGTTTAAGTAATTTAAGCAGGTATTTTAAACACAGCGTTAGTTTTAAGCTAAACGACTGATTTATTACATTGACTTTGTATGTTAGAGCCGTTTTACACACAAGATAATTACCCCGAAAATCATAGTCATAACTATGCCGAAAATTTTTGCTGTCGTATTACACGTAAAAGAATTCTTGTGAAAATTTTCATGGTAAAAATATAAAACCCGCGAGAATCGGCGCAGAGGGTTATTTCCGTGCATGTCATTATCAAATGTCAGCGTCAACCCGTCAACAACATAACCTCACTTAACATTTGTGGGTGTGGTCCTGTTCGAATCGTACGAAGAAGCGTTTATTGTAATTGTTTATTCATAATGTCGTGGAATCGGGAAGAAGTTAAACTGTTGTAGGAGGAGTACCAAAAATGGCCAAACTTGTACAAGGTGAAGTCACCCAATTCCAAAACAGAAATTTGCGCCGTCAGGCGCTGGATGCGATAGTCCAAGCATTGAGAAGTTTTATAATATTAACCAAGATCTCGATTTCAAAAATAAATTTAAATCCGCGACGTCTATTGTCTTTCCGATTATATTGTACGTCATACCCGTTAAGGTTATGTCCATTCGAAAATATTACTCTAATGCGCAGGCGTATCATATGAATTACTCGGAAATTTTATTTGCTTGTGTCATACAGGTTGTAGAGAAACTCTTCAATATTTTTTCCATGCAAATTTTCGGCATAATTATGACCACAATTTTCGCAGTAATTCTCTTGTGTGTAAAACGGCTGTTACATAAAAAAAAACAAAGTGTTACTTAATAATTTGTTTCATTCATCCAGTAAATACAGGAATAATTGTTTACTTGTTAAGATGACCTTCCTTGGTACAACCACCTCATAAGTACTACAAAAGAATCCTACTCCCGTGGTCGAGAGTACCCAGGAAGTCGTTCTATAATGTTCTCTTCCAATATTGTAACGGGTGCGCCATCTATTACTTTTTTTTACCTATAAGTTTATGTATTACCATGCGAGTCAAAAATCATAAATGAACTGTCAAAGGTATGCCATTTATAGTCATGGATTCGTTTACAACACAACAACGCATTTTTATATTCTTTTCGCAAACTTCGCACTAGTTTTGGCCGACATGGACGCCCTACAGAGTCTGGAATTCGTTGAACTGTTAATCGTTTTGAGGAAAATGTTTCAGCTGAAGGTGATAGACCATATCAACATGCTCGTCCAGCTCGTACTCGTGAAAACATAGCCGCAGTGAGTGAAAGTGTGCGAGAAGATCCGACCACCTCGACTAGGCACCATTCGCAACAGTTGGGAATCAGTGAGACCACTTTACGTCAGATTTTACACATTGATTTACACCTCCATCCATACAAAATCCAACTATCACAAGAATTGAAGCCGGCAGATCATCAACAGCGGCGTGTTTTTGTTAATTGGATGCTGGAAAGAGAAGACGGATTTTCGGCCAAAGTGCTCTTTTCTGATGAGGCTCATTTTCACCTCAATGGGTACGAAAATAAACAAAATTGCAGATTCTGGGGGGCTGAAAATCCACACCAATATTATGAAAATGCTGAAAAAGTGACTGTCTGGTGCGGATTATGGGCTGGTGGCATCGTTGGACCATTCTTCTTTGAAGAAAGGGCCATTACCGTCATCGGGAAACGTTATCGCGGCATGTTTACAGACTTTTGTGGCCACAATTGGATCATGTTGGTGCCGATGATCTTTGGTTTCAAGACGTAGCAACGGCTCACACATCTCGCCAAACAATCGCCTCATTGCACACGAAATTTCAAGACCACATAATTTTACGAAATTCAGATGTCAGTTGGCCCCCGAGATCGTGCGATTTAACACCTCTTGACTATTTTCTTTGGTGATTTATGAAAGGAAAAGTATATGCGAATGGTCCCCGGACAATTCAAGACCTAAAGCGCAATATTCGGACTGAAATTGCGGCCATAGACCCGATTATTCTAGGAAAAGTCATTGAAAATTTTGATGCTCGGATGTCTTCCTGTAAACGAAGCCGCGGTAGTCACATGACTGATGTTATTTTTCATACATAAATGCCATAAACCAACCTTCATTTATCAATAAAAAAATTCGATTTCACCTCGTAAAAATTTCAAATATTAAAAAATGTAATAGATGACGCACCCTAGTAAGCTTTCAACTACGTACCGCACAGTTTCTTGTTCTCCCTAACGAGTTGATCCTTTTGCTCACGAGTCTTGTCCAGCTCGTGCACGCATCTTTGCAATTCGGTGACCTTAACGCGCAGATCACGTTGGCTCTGTTCGTACAACTGCACTGTCTCGTCCAATCGCGTCTTCAGGTCGATGTTGATCCTCTCCAGTTGTTCAACGCGTTTCTGCAGCTCCCTAGCAGTGGTGTTGGCCTTCTCCAGGTCGATGATCAGAACCTCCACTTCGGACTGCAGACGGGATTTCTGCTTCTCCAAGTTGCTTACCTTTGAGGAAATTTTACATATTTGATAGATAGTTATATGTACAATAATCTTTCTAGCGGGACAAATTAGCAAGATGAAGTTCGTGGTGGTCAAATTGATGCATGATGAATGAAAAGTAGCAGATGGTGGTTGGATGCCATCTTGGAATGGAATGTCTGGTCATGAGACACTTCATCTTTAGGCTCCTCATAAGTATTTTATAATTAATAATAATTATAATATATTTCATTTCATTTACATTTCATTTCTTTATTGGTGCTAAATACACTTGCGTGCTTACACATGTCAAAGTAAAATTTAAAATACGAATGTATAAACTCCAAAACAATAAAATTTGTTCAAAAAAAAAACAACATGAACAGAAAATTGTAAAAAACAACACTAACCACAAAAACTGTAAAAAAATATTATGAATTTATATAATATGTATTAATATCTTTCAAATGGTGGACAGGCTGTTAAGGTTGAGCGCTTTTGTTCACTGAATCGCAACAACCAATCGTCAAAACGCTACTGTATATTATGTTAATCTTCTTCTCGGAATATGTAATAAAATATAAAAAATGTCAAACTTCACCAACTTCTATACGGTTGTCCCATATTTTATCAGACATTCAGATAGATCTTTGTAAAAGAAGACGATTGATATAGACAGTTAGAAGAAGAAGACAGTTAGACAAGGCGACTGAATTAGAGAGAGAGATAAGAGATGAAACCCAAAACATGGCGTCCACAAAAAGCTGATGGAATATGAAACACACGTTTTTATTTGATAAGAGGTGTATGCGGTGTTGTCAGATTTTTGATAAATTCATTGTCTATCACTTGCCATTAAAGCATTTTCCGTTCAATTTACTTTTAGTTGGACATTTATTAATGGTGGATATATTTATGATCCAGGTTGCGGCCTACGAAATATATATTCCATTCAAGTTATAAATTGCATTTTTTGCGAGTGCTTTCCACGTTACATTCCGTAAAACTTTTTGGCGTAACCACCAAAAGCCGTGAAAAGGACTGAACCCCATTCATAAATGTAGCGTTTTTTAAACATTTTAGTAAGTTTGGCAACCCCTCCTCTGTGCATACAGAGCCACCTATGAGCGGATCGCCAAACAAAGAACGGTCAGGCCATAGATCCTTTTTTTTGGTAAACCAATAATAGTCCAAGCGCCGACCGCAAAGTGTTGATATATCTCGTACTGATACGTTATGTTGAAAACTAGTCATATCTTACGTATTGATGATTAACAGCAAACTTTCCGAGCTTAATATGTAAGATTTGACTAGTTTTTATCGTGTCATCAGTCCGTGAAGATGTAACCAAAAATTTGTAGTCGACTCTCCTAGTATAATGCAGAAAAGAACCACTCTTGGCATATCATTCTGATGATTCAATGCAGAAAACGGTCAAATTTCAAGACCCATCAGTCATTTTTAAAGTTAGTAAATTTATACTCCACGGTTATGAAGTGGCATTAAGGAGCTTCAAAATGATCTATCAATGATCTCAATCCATTTAAAAAAAATATTCCAGGATCAGCCGCCACTTTTACGTCAAAATATAATATAGTCATGCGTCAATTATATCATCCCCCAATTTCAGCTTGCTAATCCGAATTGATTAGACATTAAGTTTGAGTGAGACCTTTTTGAACACTGGTTCTTTGCTTTATGTTCAGGACGATACAATAAATTAAACACAATATTCCTCTTTGAGAAAAATGATAGATGGTAGAGGCTACAATGCAAAAGACTAAAGATATTTTATATACATTTTAAAAAATATATATCTAGTTTTACATGGACTATTTTCGTTTAAAAAAACTTAGCTAAATCAGCTTCGTTTGAAAAAAGTCGTATAGAAATTTACAACACCTGTCTTGGAAATGATGTATTTACAGTATATTCAGATAAGAGATAGACCGGATGCAAACAAAAGGTTCGGGTGATTTTCACGCTAACGCCGCCGTCTCGACGTAAAACAGGAGCCCTCATTGGTCAATTCGCAATTAAATGCCTATGCCGAGCGGCAGAGCAGTCGTATCAAGGCAGAGTCACATTCAGGTTCAGACGTGTTACGTATGTCGTGTGCATCATTGCAATTTGATATTTCTTTGGACGTTTTCGTTTGTTATCTTATTAAGTTGTTGAGTTTGTCGTTGTTATTGTTATACCTTGTTATTGATTGTTATTGTTATCAACTGCTTGCGCAAAATGCCCAGTAGTACAGATACTGCCGATGAAGTTGTAAACTCCTGTAGTCCACCTAGGAAACGCTCTAAAAAAAGACACCTGAGTGCAGAAATGAAAGAGGTCATTTTGAATATATATAAGATCGAGCGCGAGGAGAACGAGGCATCAACCATCAAAGAAATTGTTGTGAAGGTTTCTCACAAAGTTGGGGTGTGTCGCGCATCAGTGTTTAATGTGTTAAGACAATACAAAAAAAATCACACCTTTTCTGAGCCAATGACCAGTAAACATCGCAAAAGTATTGTTAAATCATTGGATGATGCTGATAAGCATGCGATTAGGAGGAAAGTGCATGAATTCTTCTTTAGGAATGAAATACCTACTATAGATAAAGTACTGCAGGAGGTAAATGGAGATACAACGTTGCCAAATTTCAAACGATCAACTTTCCATGCGTTACTGAAGCATTTAAATTTCAAATGGAAAAAACGGGGTCGTAATAGTTTACTACTGGATAGAGAAGAAATTGTGCTATGGAGGAGGGATTATTTAACAAAAATTGGGAAATATAGAAATCAAAACAGGAAGAATTATTACCTTGATGAAACGTGGGTAAACGCAGGACACACTACAAGTAAAGTATGGGTTGATGATTCTGTAACTTCATCCAGGAGGGCCTTTCTAGATGGACTGTCCACCGGATTAAAAAATCCAGCAGGTAAATACGAGTAATAGACAACAATCGGATGTTTTTCAAACCTTGGGAACAAGGTTCTAAACATTAATTCCAGGGGGCAGATAAAACATATTACAAGTAACAAAACTTTTATAACTTTCGATAAAATGCGTGGATGTTTTATTGTCATTTTCATTTGTTAGAACTTTTTTAAGCCATGTTTTTATGTGTTTTCGATATTTCAATAATTTTTTAATATAATCTTAAAATATGTCGAATATTATAAACTTAAAAAAAGTTACTAAGTTTTATATTGTGTACCGTTCCTAATATTTCTAATCATTTTAATTCATACTTTAAGCTTTATAAAGTTATAATTTGTTAATATTAATATTTGCGCGTATTTCAGGTTCCTGATCATTCATTTTTTAAAGGTTTATAACTTTAAATTAAATTGTGAAGCGCTGAGTAACGACGTTCAATATTCTTTCTTTCAATATAACTAAATAATCCCAATTATAGCAATCAGATACTCATGTCTCATTGATTTTTTCGCTGAATGTGATGAAAACATTTGAAAAAGGTTCGCTTATTGAAATGAATCTACACCAGTTAGTACTTCGCTTTCCAGGTAAAGGGAAAAGGCTCATTATCTGCCATATTGGCAGTGAGGATGGATTTGTTGTTGACGGTCTGTGGTGCTTTGAGTCTAAGAAAACTGGAGATTACCACGAGGAAATGAATGGCGAATCGCTTGAACAGTGGTTTTCAAAAATTTTACCGAACTTAGAGGAAAACGCAGTAATTGTGTTGGATAATGCGCCTTATCATTCTCGAAGAATGGAGAAGGTCCCAACAACGGCTTCAAGGAAAGTTGATGTTCAAAATTGGCTCCGCTCGAAAAATATCAACTTTGAAGAAGCAATGCTGAAAGTACAATTATTAAGAATTGTCAAGGATCACAAGGCGGGATATTAAAAATACGCCATTGACGAAATGGCAGCAAGTCAAAATAAAACTGTGCTCCATTTACCTCCATACCATTGCGAGCTCAATCCCATTGAGCTCATATGGGCAGAGGTTAAAAATTATATAGCTAAGCACAATACAACTTTTAAATTTTGTGACCTCAAAGGACTTTTCAAAGAAGCACTAGAATTAATAACAGCGCAAAAATGGGAAAACTGTATTAAGCACGTGAAAGACAAAGTTGAAAAGAGAATGTGGGAACTGGACAATATTTTAGAGGAACAAGTCGAGCCATTCATTATTGACGTTGGTGCTTCAGGCAGTAGCGATGATGAAAGCTCATCAAGCTCATCTTTCCAATAAAAGATGTCGTTCAACAAATTCGGTAAGTTATAAGTAATTATAAAGCTACTGTATTTTTTAATTAATTATTGACATTTTTGAACCCATTTTGGCAAAACCTATTCAAGAATCTACTTTCTGACAATGTTCAACCATGCACATTCTTTACGTTTTGAACGTTTTAATTTGGTTACATATTTACCTAGAAATCAAAAAATATACTAATCAATATTCTAAAAGCAATTTTAAGAGATATACGATTATTTTTAATTTAGGCTAATTTAAACGCCATTTTGAGATCGTATTCGACTGTATTTCACCAAACATCAGGCGGCATCCGAAGCTGGAAATCGAAGCGAAAATTTTGAAACCCTTATGTATATTTACATCATTATATATTTCTTACCCCACCCCCACATGATCCTATATCCATCACCAATCGTATACACATCGAATTGTGCTAATTTACCACAAAGTTACTCAAAGCAGCATCTACTATCTAAAATATGTACTGCGTGACTCTTAATACGTCCCTGCCGAATGTTACAGCGTTCGATGATCACGTGGTCTTGTTTATGTCCGGTCTATCTCTTATCTGAATATACTGTAATGCACTACTTTATTGAAACCTTTCTATGGTTTTTCGATACTTTTGAACTGCCCCTCGTATGAGAATCTACCCTAGGTCTTACCTTGACCAACAAAGATTCGATATGTTCTTCTTGTTCCTGGATTCTTTGGTTGAATTTGCGACGGAGTTCTTCTACTTCTTCAGCTCTGGCAGCCGCTTCTGTTTCATATTTCGATTTCCATACCTGAACCTATGCGGAAAATAAAACATGTATAAGTATATGTGGAGTTTTAAAGATGTCATAATAGTCATTTGGACAATTTTCAATATCGGAGGTGTCATATTCTACTTTGCCTATTATTTCTGAATAAAATATTAAGCATAATCCATTATAATCACGCGGTTTCCCACAAAATTCCTACGGTTCCGAGCCCTGCTAAATCCAAATATTCTTTCGACTTGTGCCTAGGACACCTCCTATTTAAAGAATGCACGTCATTTCTTGACAAAATCGGCACGGTTTTGTACGTCACCCTTAAACGGCGACCTATCTTTCGACTAGACATTCAAATTGTGTCTTGAGGCCTTTTCCTATGTCTATTAACACTGTTTTGTGATAAAGCACAAGGTCTTCCAGCTTTTGGCAAATATTTATTTGTAAAGCACACTTTCCCAACAGTCTCTTTTTGCCCTATAAGTGGTTGCCTGATCTCTGCACAAGTTTACATTTTAAGTTTTGCATAACCGTCCAACTCAGCTGTAAATATTCTTGCAAATTTCAAGTTGGTAGAACATTTTAAACTTGACTTGACAATTTGACGTTCAGTAATGAGAACAACCAACGACATCAGATGGGTAGAAATTTCAAGGCAAACTATTTCTCAAGACTTTTGTCCCATAAGCAAGGTTTGTCGAAGCTTGGTTAACCACTGCTAGACTTACTTGAGTAATCTGTATTGTATCAAAGTTTACTTACTTCTCCTTGGCATTTAACCAGCTGCCTTTCCAGATCTAGCCTGGCTTCGCTCTCCTCCTCAAGTTGTACCCTGACGGATTCCAGCTCAACCTCAACTTGGTGGTAGTTGGCCTCCAGGATTTGTCTCCTTCTCTCATCATCTTCAGCTCGCCTTCTGGCATCTTCCAGTTGACCGGCAAGCTGGCTCTTCAAGTAGTTCGCATTTTCCAAGTTCACCTTTAAATAAAAAGCTAATATCAGATCTAACATATTCAACTTTGATAAATGGATAAATATGTACCAATAATCCATACACGTCTCAGGTGTCTAAAAATTTTAACGATAACGGTACAGAGCATGAACATCCGGGTATGACGATTGCTGATAGGAGTCGGCTAATTCAGTTATTATTCAACACCTTATTGAAAGATCAACGGTACCGTCGGATTTAGCTTTAGAGGCGTGTATCTTTGTTAAGGGTAATAAGAGAACTTAAGTGTTTCTAGTAATATGTATTCAACAAACACAGTCCGATATGTATTGTCAGCTCACTCTGTAACAAACTACCACCATCAATCAGAAGCTTGAATAACATAAGCCTTTCTGAACGAAAGTTCAAATTATTCTGTTTCTACTACTTTAATAAACATTACATCTCGATCACAGCTAGTTATATAGTCTACAGGGTGTTTCAAATTCGACCCTCACCATTGGAATCTCGCAAGCTGTGAGAGTACGGAGTCGCAAAATTGCGTATTTAGGTAATTAATAAATTGCCGCTTAGAGAGTTTCGAAATTCAAAGTTTTTCCGTAGAGAGATGGAAAAAACGAATTTTCCCAAAATCGTTTTGATTTTGTCCTGACTTTTTTGGCAATGCACATCAACATCGTAACTGTTTCTCTCTTACAAGATGGCATGATTAGATGAATAGTGTTTTTATTCCTGATTCCAAAAAGTTGATGGTGGAAGACAAGAGACAAAACGTCATATTGAATTTCTAATTATGCCACGTTATAGAGGAGAAGAAGTGGCAAAGTTAATGCGCAATTTATTTTGAAATTACGAAAAAATTCAGGAAATAATAAGGCTGTTTTGGAAAAATTCAGTATTTCTGTCTTCCTAGTTTCTAAGCGGCATTTTGTTAGTTACCTAAATACACAACTTTCTCCACATTTAGGCGACTTCGTATCTCTGACCAAACCCGGTAGATACACACCAACCCACGAGAAACATTATCCTCCTTCCGAGGTAGTCGGATAAAGAGGATATCATTTTCTGCGCCACCGATTTTTTTGAAACATCTTTAGCATTTTTTAATAAGATTTCCAATTCTACATAAATCTGACCTTGTGAGAAATTCTTATTAGACTTTTGAAGAAAAACTGTTCTGAATATTTGATGAAAAAGTCCGACTCGTACTACTTTAAAAATAAGCCGAAGTTAGTAAGGTTTGACATTGGAAATTGTATGTAAGTTTTTAAGAGAGTAATCTCAACTCACCTCAGCTATTCGGACAATGTTAATGTCTCATCAGCGGTGTAGATTTTTTTTGTTACTTTCAAATATATATTGTTGTCCAAAACGGACTCAGGAAAGTAAACGCATATTAAAACAAGAAAGATTGATATTCAAATCAAGTTGGGTACTTTATTTTGAAGGTTCATTTATACCATTTATGTATGAAAAATAATATCGCTCAAATGTTCACCACGACTGGATTTACAGATATCCACGCGATGGTCGAAATTTTCAATGACATTTTGCAACATGGTCGGTTCTATGGCATTTATCTCGGCAATGATGTTGTTTTTGAGTTCTTGGAGGGTGGCTGGCTTGTTGACGTAGACTTTGCTTTCCAAATATCCCCATAAACAGAAGTCCAAGGGAGTCAAATCGCATGATCTTAGTGGCCATGGCACATTTCCTCTGCGCGAAATCACGCGATCACCGAAGAAGGACTGCAATCGATGGATATTGACGTTGGTTGTGTGGCATGTTGCACCGTCTTGTTGGAAATTAACATCGTCAATATCTATTCCTTCAAGTTGCGGCAAAAAATAGTCCTCTATCATCACGTGATATCGCTCAGAATTGACGGTAACGGCATCCTCGGCCGCATTTTCGAAAAAGTAAGGTCCGATGATGCCTTTTGACCACAATGCACACCACACAGTCACTTTCTGAGGATGCATCGGCTGCTCTTGATACTCACGGGGATTTTCGTTCGCCCAGATGCGGCAGTTTTGCTTGTTTACCGTCCCATTCAAAGTGAAATGCGCTTCGTCGCTGAACATGATTTTTGATGAAAAATTGGCATCAATTTGGCGGTGTTCAAGAAGCCAATCTGAGAACGTTCGGCGCGAAAAATAGTCGGCCCGACGCATCTCTTGCGTCAATTGGATCTTGTAGGCTGGTTCTCGAAATGCCCAATTCTTGGGATCGACGCGTTGTTGATAGTTTTGGATCGTCTCTCACACTCTCCTTCACAACAGCAAAATTTTCCGGTGTGCGAACGCTCCTTGGCCGGCCAGAGCCTGGCAGGTTTGCCACAGAACCTGTTGCCTTGAATTTACGCATCAGACGACCGATGGTTGTTTCTTTTGGGCGGTTGTTGCGACCGAAATGTTCACGAAGCGCGCGAAACGTGTTTTTTATTTTTGCACCATTTTTGTAGTGCTCTTGAATAACTTTAATGCGGTCTTCAATCGAATACTCCATAGCGATCAATGGTAAACATTCAACTAACAAAATGACATGTCGGTGACAGAAAACAAATATGGCGTTTATGTCAAATTGACGTTTACTTTCCTGCGTCCCTATTGGACAACCCTTTACTTTCTGTCATAGAAATGTTGCCACGTTTATCTGAAATACATTTGTTACCTTGATGTCCTGGACTTCCTTGGTGAGTTCAATGTTTTCCTGGGACAGCCTGGTCTTATGAGATGTGATGTCTACGATGGTGCGGTTGAGTTCTTCAATGCGAACGTTCAGTTCGCTGACGGTGATTTCGAGTCTCTCCACTTGCTTGACGCTGATAAGGCGTTCTTTGTTTACGCTCTCCACTTGGGCGAGGAGTTCGTATACTTCGGTCTGGAATTTCGCCTTTTCTTTCTCAGCTCTGCAAAAGAATTGATATCGATCGTTTAGAATATTAGCTGTGAAAGATCATTTTAGTTTTGGTTGGTATCGAAATCAACTCAACGCTATCCATTACGACGAAATATGGAAAGCAGTGGTCATGCTGGATGAGGCTTTTTTGAATATACGTACATATATGTTATGTATATGTATATACTTTGAAGTACAAATCATACATAGTTTATGTATGTCGAATTTAGTAAATTAAATAACAATAGAGAGCTTACGTTTTAATATAAAATTAAGCATAAATTCACATACATATGTACTAAAATAATCAAGAATTATTAATCAAAATCATTAATGAATTTATCAAATTATGAAGCTTGGAAATATTCATCAATTTTTTTTTTGTTTAAGGTTGTTATAACGCGAGATCAGAGCTTTGTCCCTCAGTCTTCTCAAAAGCAAAAGTTCGTTGTAGGATGTACCATTCTCTTCAGCCCATTGTAAGCCTAGCACAAAGGCGTTAATTGCGTCTTGTGATGTGACTTGTTGAGCAGTTGCAATCACGTCGTCGTTATTTTCCTGATTGTTTCTTGTATAATTAGAAAGTTCTTTTATAATCTCTTCGTCAGACATTTCATGAAAAACATTTTCCTCTTTATCCATTTCACGGCACCAGATTTGAAAATCTTCCGGACTTATCTGTGTTTCAGTAGCGACTTGTTCTATAACTTCCGAAGTAACACTGATTTGTGGAACGTTGCTAGGAGTGGTGACTATATCTGCCCATAACTTTTTCCAAGACGATTTAATAGTTGATGACGGTAACGCATTCCACGACTGACAAAGAGCAAAAACCAAGTCTTTCATATTAAATTCTTATAAAGTTTTTTTCTATTGGTTGGTCTTTTGATACGCCTCTCAGAAGTTGGTTTTTCTTATGGTCTTGCTTGACAAACTGAATGATATTCTGGTCCATTGGTTGAATCAGTGCAGTGCGATTTGGCGGAAGAAACATCGCACTGATGCATTTATCCTCAGTTGTTAGTTCTTCTTCAGACGGATAACCAGGAGCGTTATCAAGAAGCAACAACGATTTTTGAGGAAAATTATGATCTTTTAACCATTTTCTAACTTCAGATACGAAGCATTCATCAAACCACTTTTTGAAAAGGTCTTTTGTCATCCATGCACTTTTTTGTCCGTAATAGTGTACAGGTAAATCAATGTTTTTGAATGCCCGTGGTTTATTAGATTTCCCAATGACCATCATCTTAAGCGCGTGTGTGCCCGCAGCGTTAGCACATGGTAGTATGGTTACACGCTCTTTACTTACTTTTCATCCAGATACGGATTTTTCGTTACAAGAAACGAAAGTTTTGTTAGGCATCACACGCCAAAAAAGCCCTGATTCGTTTTCATTGTACACCTGTGATGGGCCAAGATTTAAATCGTTCACCTTTTGCAAAAATCTTAATTTAAAGGGCTCTATGCAGGTGGCATCGTTAGAAAGTTTCTCTCCTGTAATAGTCATTAAACGTATCCCATGACGACTTTTAAAACGGTCTATCCATCCTTTGCTGGCTACAAGATCATCTTTTTTGTTATTTCCTTATAAAAAAACTTAGCTTTCATGGCCAACATGGGTCCTCAAATTGGTGCATGCCTATTTATTTCCTGAAGAAACCACATGTACAAAGCTTCTTCCACTTCTGGATGTTCAGCTTTCTTGAGTGTCTGTCTCTTGCCTGGCCCGCAGTCAGCAGTTGTCACGAGCTTCTTGATCTTCTCGTGGTTTCTTTTAATGTGTGATGACATTACTAGGTACTATACTTAATACACAATGAATAAATAGTAAACAATGAACACACGCTAGGCCGTGTAGACAAGTAGTCAAAAAGTAAAACAATGCTTACGCGTCGAGCACGATAGCGGTGGCGCGTACAAGTTGTAAGCTGTTCAAACCTGCGTGATCTACATTAGCGAAGATTGTCAAATACGTATGTATGTAATACATATTCAAAGATATGTCGGATTACAGGGGGCGCCGGATTAGACAGGTGCCGGATTATTGGGGGTCCACTGTGATAACCGTTGGCCTTATTATTATTTTGAATTATACATATCCTGGAAAGAGGGTGATGCTCCAATTTCTGTCTAACCAGCTTTTTTTAATTCTCACGTAACATTGACAGAGAAAAATAGCAATCTCGCAAAGTTTTAATTGTCAGCTAAAAAGTGTTCTTCTGCTTGATACCTGTAGGTCTGCCTGTTGGTATTTTTCTACCCGCATAATTTCGGAAACAGTTAGTTATTTTAACAAAACTTAGCACCGGATATGATGTGGGAATATAAAAGCTAAGTGTTCGTATTGGCAGCGCAGTTCCCAAAAGTTGTTCTTGTTTGCATGTTTCACCTCCTGATAATTGTTTATGTAATCTAAAAAATGTTTTCAAGGCATCAACATTTTGTAAAGTCACCACCATAAATTCATTGTTATTACCAGATTATATTCGCTAACGAGATTTTTTTAAAAAACATTTGTGTATCGAGAGTTTTCAATTTGTATTTGCATATTGACACCCTGTCACACCTCACACGCGTCGGCTTCTTATCTAGGTCGATAGATACCCTAAGCCATATCGCTGATAAATATGCACACCGTCGGCATATATAATACAATAATAGCAATAATACATAATTTCAGGCTGACACGTAGAAGCATTCCTGTCCTGGCGTCTCTCTAGGCGATACACTGGACTTTTCATAGCCAAAAAGTAAGTGAGTCTGCTCAACCCAGAGCAAACTTACCCCCTGGTCACAAGTGTGACAATATAGAAAATTTAAAAATGGGCGTGGAACGTACCGAGTCGATCTACTTGACATACAAAAAGCAGTTAGAGTCCTTGTTGAGTGTGAAGAATAATTGATAATACATTTTTAGAAAATCCGATACCATTTCTGTACAAGTATCTATTTAGTGTTTCCAAAAATATATGCAATTTTGAAAAATGACGTCAAGAAGGTTAACTCGTCCCGCGCAACTTTGTCAGAAAGGATGATATTCGGCACAAGTTAGCTCCTACAGCCCCCAGTCCCGCTACCAGACTGATTTTCAAAAACGACAAAGCTTTATCGGACGGACAGATATACCAACCGACATACAAACATATGGAATTTAGTGAGATGGTTTTCCATGATATCCATGTCACATAATATCCAAAAAACGTAGTATCTCGTTTTTTCGCGGTTACAATGCCACCTCGCCAGTGACGTGGGAAGTAAAGATTCAGTCATAATCAGGATAGAAGCGATATAAAATTATGGTACAAGTATTCGTTAAGTCTGGTGGGGGCAGTGTGTGAGAGCTTTACCAATGAGGAGGTTTGTATAATCTGACTTATCTGGATACCCCTAACAAGAATATTTAAAATTCTGATGAAAGCCCAATTGCTTTAACTGTAAATGTTATGGTCTTCGATCCAAAACTATCAGCGAATAAATATTTTGCGATGATGTGGACTTTTGCGATCGGTAGTGTTCTGTTTCTTAAAGTATTCCTAGAAATGATTGGTGTTTTAACTGCATCGTCTACAATCAAGCACACCCATAATATTGCCATTGTAAACATGCTGTATGTATAAGAATTATTCATTTTTGAGTTACTACCAGTAGTAAAATGAAAAGGCGCCTGTATACTTCCCGATCGTAAAGCTATTTTCAGTGCTTTCAATTGCAAACGTTACAGCCGAGTCTCGTACCTTGGGCAAATACAGTTGGCGTAAATGTAGAGAGTAGTTTGTAGTGATGACAGATAGTTTGCAGAGAAAAACCACATGTTTGGTAAGAGAACATATGTGTACATAACCTGCGTGATCGCGAAGCGGCGATGCATAGCTACATAATTTCCAACTGTGGAGGAGAGACACCATTCCACAATGGTCCTTTGAGCACTTTTATTCAATGTTCTCTCTCCATTGCGTAGGATTGACAGAATTCTTGATGGAAAAGTATATCACAAGGTTTCTGTTCATCAAGAGAAAAAATGATATATATGTGGACCCCCGGTAATCCGGCCCCTGTCTAATCCGGCGCCCCCTGTAATCCGACATGTCTTTGAATATTACATACATACGTATTTGACAATCTTCGCTAATGTAGATCACGCAGGTTTGAACAGCTTACAACTTGTACGCGCCACCGCTATCGTGCTCGACGCGTAAGCATTGTTTTACTTAGTTTGAAATTGACTACTTGTGGTGGTATGGCCTAGCGTGCGTTCATTGTTTACTATTTATTCATTGTGTATTAAGTATAGTACCTAGTAATGTCATCACAAACTCAGATGCGAAAGCACAAAACATTGACAATTAAATAAAAGTGTGATATTTTAGACCGCTTAAATCGCAATAAAACTTTCAGTAGTTTAGCAAGTGAATACGGTGTAGGCCGATGTACAATTTATGACATTAAAAGAAACCACGAGAAGATCAAGAAGTTTGTGTCAACTACTGACTGCGGGCCAGGCAAGAGACAGACACTCAAGAAATCTGAACATCCAGAATTGGAAGAAGCTTTGTACATGTGGTTTCTTCAGGAAATAAATAGGCAAGCACCAATTTCAGAACCCATGTTGGCCATGAAAGCCAAGTTTTTTCATAAGGAAATAATAAAAAAAGATGATTTTGTGGCCAGCAAAGGATGGCTAGAACGTTTTAAAAGTCGTCATGGCATACGTTTAATGACTATTACTACAGGAGATAAACTTTCTAACGATGCCACCTGCATAGAGTCCTTTAAATTAAGATTTTTGCAAAAGGTGAACGATTTAAATCTTGACACGTCACAGGTGTACAATGCAGACGAATTAGGGCTTTTTTGGCGTGTGATGCCTAACAAAACTTTCGTTTTCGAAAAAATCCGTACCTGGACGAAAAGTAAGTAAACAGCGTGTAACCATACTGCCATGTGCTAACGCTGCGGGCACACACGCGCTTAAGATGATGGTCATTGGGAAATCTAATAAACCACGGGCATTCAAAAATATTGATTTACCTGTACACTATTACGGACAAAAAAGTGCATGGTTGACAAATGACCTTTTCAAAAAGTGGTTTGATGAATGCTTCGTATCTGAAGTTAGAAAATGGTTAAAAGATCATAATTTTCCTCAAAAAGCGTTGTTGCTTCTTGATAACGCTCCCGGTCATCCGTCTGAAGAAGAACTAACAACTGAGGATAAATGCATTACTGCGATGTTTCTTCCGCCAAATTGCACTGCACTGATTCAACCAATGGACCAGAATATCATTCAGTTTGTCAAGCAAGACTATAAGAAAAACCTGCTTCTGAGAGCCGTATCAAAAGACCAATCAATAGAAAAAACTTTAAAAAAATTTAATATGAAAGACTTGGTTTTTGCTCTTTGTCAGTCGTGGAATGCGTTACCGTCATCACCTATTAAATCCTCTTGGAAAAAGTTATGGAGAGATATAGTCACCACTCCTAGCAACGTTCCACAAATCACTGTAACTTCGGAAGTTATAGAACAAGTTGCTACTGAAACAGATAAATCCGGAAGATTTGCAAATCTGGTGCCGTGGAATGGATAAAGAGGAAAATGTTTTTCATGAAATGTCGGACGAAGAGATTATAAAAGAGGTTTCTAATTATACAACAAACAATCAGGAAAATAACGACGACGTGATTGCAACTGCTCCACAAGTCACAGCACAAGGCGCAATTAACGCCTTTGAACATACATACATATATAATCTTACCATTGGATATGTAGTTTGTCGGATTACAAGGTACTCTTTTGTAAAAAATTCCGGACTATAGGGGGTCTTAAGCAGTGCTCTATAATCCGACAAATTCGATAGTCCGACACTGCCCTGCATAGTGTTTGTCGGATTACCGGAAGTCCACGGGTCCATTCTATAACGAGAAATGTAGGAATTGGGAAAACTATTGTTTTTCCTTGGCTCAAAAATGCTACCAATGAGTAGAGAAAATGTCAGCGATTTATGAAGTATCATTTTTGATTTTTAGCTTCCCAAACATGCCCGAAAATCGCAGATACCCTCTCTGTGCTTAACATGCGAGATTAATCCATATATTTTCACATGCTCACACTAAATCCCTCTTTTGCTAACTTCGATTTTTTTTAGGTTATCGTGTTAATTTCCCTGAACCCAAAGCTTCTCAGGATTAGACCATTTCTGTGATGTTTGGGTTCTCAATCTCAATTTTCTCCTGCAGGAGCTCTGATATAGGTAGTAACAGAAAGCGAGGTCCCACGATACAAGCAACTTGCCAAAACGACTAAAAATATTTGTGAAATATGTGGCTACATCGACAAAGAATCTGGAGCAACAGCGGCATATTTCTCTAACTAAAAATAATTCGCGTGTTTACGTGGCGCGGCCTGACATTTATGTAACCTATACGACTACACGAACACAAAAATGTACCGGCGACGGTGTAGTGTTCCAAAATTATTAAAATACCAATAATTGTTAACATACCTACAGGAATTTTTATTACAGTGAAACGGGTCTCCGAATCACCGGAAATTTAAAAACTCAAAAATATAAAAAGCTCGACAGTAACTGAAAAGTATGAAATTTTTTGCGCTTTTTGAGACTAATCCGAAAACACCTCAAATGTCTTTCAAGCTATGGAATAACGCCTCATATGCATAAATCCCGCGAAATATAAATTTCAGGATTGAATTTTTTTATCAAAAACTGCCAATACGAATTTATCTGCAATTTTGCTTTAAAAACATTCTAATATAGCCAATATCACTCGCACTTTCAAAGCGCATCTAACGTATATGTAATTTTTTTTTTAATAAAGTCAGTGTTACTAGAACTGATAAGACGAATCCAACGACAGCTCGTCACGCTGTTTTTCAATGTACTTTACTACAGAAATATCTCAGACACTGAGATTGTTATTACCAATGAGAATATTTTTTTATGTGCATATGGTATGCAGGAGGGTAATTTTGAAACTCGACAACTGATACTGAGTAATAAAAAGAGATCGCTTCGTTTCAATACCATAAGCAACTGCAAGAAAATGAATTGTCTTGCTTATCAAAGCAAGAATGTCCGTTTTTGAACTTGTCTGCCTTGTATAAAATTGAGCGATTTATTTTAACCAGAACCTGACTGAAGAATGCAGAAAAATCGAAAAATGTAAGCAATCCTGTGTATCGGTGAGTTATTTAAGCGAGTCAAATATGGCAAGGATACGTCCAGAGTTATTTTTAACAAAGCGACAGCATCCGATCCGAACCGAAGCTCGTAGATTCTTATCTAATCTCGACGCTGTTCTTTTTTTATTCTAAGAAACAGTCGGTAGTATTGCATAGCACACTCAGATTCTCTCAACGACTACCGTCGACGATGACAGTGTTGAAAATCAGAAGTTGGAATAACAGAGAGAGAGAACATCACGGTTTCAAAAATAGTTATATGGGTCATCAGATCAAAATATCCCGGTAGTGGACTTTTGCTGAAATTTTACAGGACCGTAATAACTTCTAATAGCCATCAAGTACGGTACCTGTACATATCAGTTGCCTATTGGCAGATAGATTGGTCTCATTATTACGAAGATGTGGGGTGAAAGAAGTACTATGGAAGCTAGAGAGCTAAGCTGCCTTGCAGACTGCGGACGCCAACAAAAAAGTTGACATCATAACTAATATAGAACCTTGATGTTGAATCAGCCAGTCTTTCCAATAAAAGTCACAAAATCTGACCAATCAGTTTTATAGACCTCTTAATTGATTGATACAGGACTAGAATGACGATTGGTGCTCTTCTGAACTTTCAAACTACTCTTGTTTAATAGCCTCAATGTTGAAAGCTTATTGAAGCCTGGTATGAACTTTTTGGCTTGCCTACTGTTATATTGTTTACCCATGCGATCACTTGTTGTCCAAGCCAGTATTGTGCCGCGCTAAGCACAAGGGGTATATTTGGTTTTTGATACCCGGTATATCAGAATCAGCGTTCTTTTCCCTACGCATTGGAAAAGTTTTTTGGACGTAACATACAATAGTTTTCTCAAAAACCTACATTTTTGCTTGACGTATCTGCACAACTGAACCAGAGGCTCAAACTTTGGACGCCTTTGTCTCGGTTTCATGTTAGCTACAGTATTAACCTAGCACGAAAAGCTCGACAGGCAGAAGACGGGATTGTTGAGCAGTTTCCAAAAATCACAAAATATCTGCTAAGCAGTCCAAAATATAAACCTTTATAAAAATTAAATGGAAATCCCTATGGCTAATTTCTGAAAAAACATTACTCAAATTTACTTTACTTAAAAATTAATTTTGAGGTGATTTCCGAATTCGATGACTGTGATGCAATATTTGAGATTACAGAACGACTATTGTCAAACCCCGAACAAGTACCTAAGTAATCGATACTTGGTTTTATCCATTTTTTTGGTCAATTTGTATGCCTTCTCATTATATTTTCAAAAATGTCTCATTTCAAGACTACAGGGTATTCAGGATGTTTTTCAAGATTATTTTGAAACATTTAGAAAACTGGAGGCTCATTTCAACAACTTCAAATCAACACATTAACTAGGAAACTAATTAGAATTTCTTATTTACTAGAGCATTTGTGGTCAGGTTTATCTTTTTGTTAGGAAGTGGTTCATTTTATATTATAGATATATTGATTTAGCAAGTAACATAGAATGATCCTTCAAATTTCATAGTGTGTGTTACGATCACAGTTACACAGGCGGTCATTGATTAAGGAATTCTCACCAGGAAACACTAAGCTGGTTCTGCCATTTACACTCCCTAAGAAGGGTCATCTGCTGTACGTATGTATGCGAGCAATTCAAATATACCAGTATATGGCAGAAATGAGAGGTTTTCATTAGTTTTGATCTATGCTTATATAAATAAAATAAGAAATTCATTTTTAAAACCAAGTTTTTATTTAGCTATCAATAAAATGAACTAAACATCTGAAAATAATTTGTATCTTTTATTTTATTTATTTTTTACTTTTTGGAATTTATGATGTCAAGTATAATTGATGATAATTTTCTAGTACATATATCATTATTATGGAGCTTCTTACTTTAGAATAAAATTTCACTGTTGATAAAAACTCTAAATCATAGGCAACCAGTAATTATCATTGTTTACGTCATAATACCATCAGCAGCTAAGTAAGTTGACTATAGATTTGTTCCAACCTTGGTATAATGCCAGAGCCATCCGGTTAGTATTTGGTACGCTTTTATATGATTCCAGAGTTCTTTCTCGGCTAGAAGGTGGTTGGAACGATTTTGGAATCGTTTTTGTAACTAGGAGGTGATAGATAGCCCCTTCGTCACTACTCATCACAATTGAAGCTGGACAACATCAATAAATTATCTTTAAATAGGAGCTATACAGGCTATCAGAGAACGATTGTAGTTTGGCTGGAGGTTAGGGGCAATCACCTGACAACAGTTCTACTGCGCAGGTCAGTTCCTTTGATTCCCCTTTCAATGCAGGTACCTACCAAGTTCACTGTAACAAACCCGTTCCAGAACCATCCCAACATTGGTTGGAACTAAATTCAGAACTGTCTCGTTACGATACCGAATAATTATTCTTAGATTGTGACTGAACATATCCTTTTCGTTTATAGGTACTATGAAAGCTTATCGTAATTTCTCACCTTGATTTCGCTTTGCCCATGATATCGATTTGTTCCTGGAAATCATTCATAATTTCTTGGTGCTTCTTCTTGAGGATGGACGCGGTTTCTTCTGATTCCAAATGTACATCCTCGAGGAGTTTGCGGAGCTTCAGCAGCTCAGTGTCTCGTTTTTTGTTCATTTCAAACTAGAAATAGATATACAGATTCCATGTACAAGACCATATTACACATTTGTACAATGTGGTCGAAGATCAAACCAGCCTGCGGTTTGGTTTCTGTACCTATTTACTTTTCTTCATTACAAAAGATAAACTGTGCAACCTCAAGTAACTGTTTTGATTAGTTGCAGACTTTCGTAGATAAAAGATCTGTTCACACTCTGTGAGGTTTCAGTGCTCCTCATCGACCAGGATATGGGTCACATTTGTAGACGTTTCTTCAGGACTGAGTGCCGTTTGAGAGGAACGGTATCTCATTTGATTTTCAACATTAAAGTTTCCTTGAACGGAGGATTTATTATATTTTGCATTTCGCAATAGTGTAGGCTGTAACAGTTATCTCAAGATTCAGAACAAATTAAAAATATGCGAAAATATAAATTTTTTTAAAATTTTCTAAATTTTTTCATAACTCAACATTTTTTATTTTTATCAGAATTTTCTAAATTTTACAATTTTGGAAATTGTCCAAAAAACTGTTATAGCTTGCTGTGGAATGCAAATGTTAAGTCCTCCTTAAGGAAGCGTTATTGTTTATCTATAATCCAAGGATAGATCATTTCTCAAACGTCTATAAAATAGCCCTAATAGTGCTACTTTAAAAGGCACGTTGGCAAACGTGGAGAAGTCAACAGAGCATTTTTTTGGTGATGAATGAAGACTGGTCAACCTCCTGTCTCGCATAAGTGTATTTTCGGTATAGCCAGCATATCTTGTAGATAGATGCTAAGAATACCTGATCTACGACTTGAGGGACAGAACATTCTAAGGTTCTGACAGTTTGCCTGTTTCAGTGGGAGCACCAAATTGGCTATTTTTGATTGAGCCATAACATAAAAATTCGAAATTCATTTAAAATATCATTATTGTTATAATTATTATTTTTATATTTACCTGGCTTTCGGCACCACCTTCCGCTTCTTCCAAACGTTCTGATAGTTGGATAACTTGGACACTGAGGTCTGCTTTTTCCCTTTCGATCTGAAATGCAAAACAAATTGGGAATTGAAGAACATTACCAATAAAGTTGGTTTCAAATTAAGGAACAGGTATTAATTATCGACATTATCATACTAGTCCAATGGCGATTCAAATACACTAAACTGCAACAGTTAGTTACTTACGGTTTTTACTTCTTACGCCACTGGCGAGTAAAGATTGTCATCGCGAAAAAATTAGAAAATGAGATAGTATGTTTCAGGTTGTTATATGACATGGGCATCACGAAAAAACACGTCACTCATTGCTATTACTGCTGAAATTTGGATGATGGTTACCACTGTGCTAAGGATAAGAAGGCTTTGTTGTTTTTGGCTCAAACTTTGACTTTTTTTATACTTCTGATAATTTTCAGAAAAAAATTTGAAGGGTTATAAATTGGGGGTTGGGGTTGTAAGGGATTGAAGATCTCAATTTCTTGGTGTTAACATACAGAGTGTTCCTTAACGATATGCTAATATTTGAGGGTGTGAATCTACATGAAAAATTAATGTTTGCTTTATAAACTATGGTCCAAAAATGTTTCCTTACAAAAACTCGGGGTGTCGAAGTTTTAGGAAAAAAATTGACATTAATTAACATTTTCAGAACCGCTTCAGATATTTCACTGATATTTAGTACGTAGTGAAAGTTAGTAAAGTTTTTAGCTTTAACAGTGGCGTGCGTACGGGTAGTGACTTCGATATTTTTTAAGAAAAAAATGGTACGTCAATGGTTTTTTGTCAAATAAAAATTAGTTTCGAATTCCTCGTTCAATTTAAAAGAAATGATCTCTCTTGAGTTGGTTTCCTTAATTTGTCATGTAGATTCACGCCCTTAAATATTCGCATATTATTAAGAATTTATACGCTTCTAACCTCGGTGATTTTACGCACCTATTAGACATATTTCACAGATTTCCCTTATGACTTAAAATATTTCAAACCTTCGCCCGAGACCAGGGTAAAGAAAAGTACATTTTCACGCCAGGGAGATTTAGGTGTATAATCTATTCGAGTTTTGTATAGAACTGAAACATTACGAAATTGTTACCCATGTATCAAAAATTTACATATAAGAAGCCATTATTTGGTCTTGACGTTGCATAAAATAAAGTAGTACATATTTATAGTACTCATCATGATTCCCAAAAATTCTGTGAGGTTATATGTGTATTGTACTTAAGTCGATTAGGAAATGCTGAGTCAACCTACTTGTCGCCATTTTCATGAAAATGGTGTTTGAAGATGACAGTTTTTGATCTGAGCTTTTTACAGAAAACGTTTTAATGGATTGCGTTTCTGTCATACTTTAGCAGTGGTGGATCCGGGGGGTGTCCAGGGGGTTCGGAGACCCTCCAAAATATCAGAGTTGAAATGTTTTTCAATTTGCCACGACCCTCTACCCTCCCGATCTTCCAGTTTCAATCGGCGATACCCCCCTCGAGATGGATATCTTCCTTAACATAAATTCCTAAGCTCGTCCCCCAGGCACTTTTTTTACAGAACTCACTAAGTCCGCAAAATGTCCCTAAAGAGATGTATTATAGGATGCATTTACCGAACGCGTTCTAAAATATTACATACAACTATGAAGATAATCTTTAATGTAAGAAATAATTTGATTTAGCGAATCTAGTCTTTTATTCTCGTTTCATTGTTCTCTGTCAATATAAACATCTTTAGGTGGAGAATAATCCATTGTAAATGAAAAATTATAAAGCAGCAAAGCAAAGTTATAATATTGTTTAAATAAGGAAAACTATGATTGAACCACGTGTTATATGAAATTGACAGAATTGAGCTATTTTTATATTCTCGCGTTGCTTAGAAGCAATGTTATCATCTTAACAGAAACATATACCAATTGGTATTGAGTCAAGTTTTACGTCCCACTTCAATTTGAAGATTCCATTATTCTAATTTTATGATGATTTTATCTATATGACAAACTAACCCCATTTGATATAAGTCTCCTATGAATTTTCTCGTAAACATAAACTGTAAATCTCGGAAGGCATTCTGCAAAGTTCATAGAATTTGCAGTGCATTATTTCCTTTGTTTCTAAAAATATCCAGTTTATGACATGGAATGAGTCGAGACCGGTCCTGACACGCGCGTATTTTTAGAGCGAAACTGAATATCTTTAACTAGTTGAACTGAATTGGCTGCACACCTTGCCAAAAATTAAAATAGACGAATGTAACCCAATTGATTCACTTTTCTAAAATCGGCGTTTACGCACTTTTTACCCGTGAGTAATAAGTTTCTTGGAATTGTTTTTCTTTTCAATTGAACTTCACACACCAAATCAACATTTTCGAAGCTAAAGTAGTTAGTTCATAATATTTGATGGGTTTTTGGTAGGTTCTAGGCTATATACATAATATCAAAGTCAAATCAGGGAAGTTATTTTCTATATTTACCTAAATGGTATCAGACGGCGATGTACCCAATTCAAGATTATAGTGGTTCACTCTACCCTCCAGGTTATTTTTTCAAGCTGCATTTCCTTAAAGGGTCATTTTATGTAGTGAGGGGTGTTTTTCAAGGAAACATTTTTATCGATTTCAATTTCCATGATTTTTGGCACCTCCAAATCTGGGACAATTTATTCAAGTTTTTACTGCGTTTTTTTCAATTTCATTCATCTAAATGAAAATTCATCCCGGGTTTTTCCCTATTTGAAAGGAGCTTGAGGTATATTAGTGTTTTTTAGGTCCAGTTATGGTTCATGTCTGTGATATTAACTAAACTTAGTACTTACCCTAGATCTAAGTTCTCTTTCGATTTCGAGGTCATCTTGTAGTAGACGGATTTTATCCTGTAAGGAAAGGTGATAATACAGTCTATAATCTCTACCTTTATCAAATAAATGCTAATATAATTTATAACACAGTTAAGCTTTGAGCCCACATGTTTTTACTGGAATGAGAAAATAATCAATTAGCCTCTATAAAAATTCAATGATAAATTACAATTATACTTCATACTGAATCAAAATATCGTATGGATACTCTCATTGTGAGAGTCATAATGTGAAATATGAGTTGGACCAATAATCTGTTTTTACTAGTAAAGACATTTTTAAGAACTGTACAAATCTATATATTATGATCGACTATAAAATAAAGAGTAGTAATTTGGGAATAATACGACTTAATGTTGATTCTTTTCTCACCGAATTTTGGCATAATATTCCATATATTAGGAAAAAGGTCAACTGAAGCTGGTCACTGATGTCAAATATTCAAGCGACTTCAGTCTTAAGTGTCTAAAGTCTGGTGACTTCAAATCAAACACTAATATTGAACTTATACTTGTACTATAAGGAAATTGTTGGGTCCCATATAAATGTTTATGCGCTAGACACTAGACAGTCATCTCATAACAGTAATAAGCCAATATATTTGCTTAATCTCTATTGTATGATATGATTTGAAAATTGTGCAGACGTCTAAAGGTAACGGGACTTATCCTCCAGCAGTCGCCGACACAGGCGATAGTGATCATTTTACCTTTTGCATTCACAAAATGTACTTAGACAAACTGAGAATGCATCTTTAGACAAAACAATGAATAAAATGTTTTTTTATGATTCACTCTGAATAATTTATTTTTGTCGACTAGTGACATATTCCCGTGATGCAGACAATATTTCAGTAAGTTATTATTATAATACATGCTTTTACATCACAAAACCGTGGTATTTTCAGAAAATAATGCGGCGGAGTATTTTTGGAAACAACATAAATGCCAAGCGATATTCGTCATACATGTTTGTGAATAATCTAATTTCTGATCTCTTTGGCGCACTTGAAAATTTGTATAAATGTTATCGATAAGCTGATAAAGTAAAAAACTAGACATTCTTGAATTATAAGCAAGACCAAAATTATATTGGTATAAGGATACAGCAAGTTAGAGCTTGCCGGTTATTTTTGTACCTAATTGCTGTCCAAAAGGAGAGCACTCTGCACTATTTATTGTAAATAGTTCATATTTGAAATTACCGTACCTGTATACAGATGTGTATATTTGCATATTTCCTAACAAGGGAAAAAGTGGAAGGGCTCTTAGAACTATCTAGATATTTAAGGTGGAAGCTTGGTGTTTGGAAGCGGCTAGATTTCGCTTAGACTGTAGCTCTGTTCAACAAAAATTTGATCAATGCTTCCATGCTACGTGATTTTTTAACCAAGTACTGAGGAATGTTAGCTACATGATTCAAAGAAAGCTTGATACAAAGTATTTTAACAATAAAAAGGCTGCAAGACAAACTATTCTTCAAGGTTTGAGTGGTTGAGCATAAGTCTATTGAGTATCCAATAACAAGAGTAGTCGACATTGTCGAAGACTTCCAATGGCATCTCCCTATTTCCCCCTTCCCTTTTTAGCTAAGCCAATCGCCGCACACCGTGGGTTTCGTATTTAAATAACTCGGTACTCACGTAACATCCAATTCTCACATGAAATAGAGACATATGTACGTGAAAGATATATATCAAAAAATTGCGTGGCTTTAAAACTATTTGAAGGAAGACTATTTTCTGGAGATGATGTAATTTGAGAGGGTCTACATATTAAAAGTATCTAAAAGTGTACTTCAAAATTCCTCCAAAGTGAGGTTCCCTATTGTTCTTTAAAACATCGGAACGTTTTGGAGAGACACTAGTTTATTTTTTTAGTCATTACGTCTGGATACCAATTTCACAATATTCTATGGTAGTACGCTGTATATATATACGTATATATATAACTTGAGACGTGGTCATTGTCGTCTAGACCAGTTAGGTGAAAAATTAAAACTTCCGCCTTTTGTTGGGTACTTCGACAAAATTTAAGCAAAGAGGACTCTTGATACTTTTTTTAATTCTCTCCAGCTTTCAATGGACTTTGCCATCATCATCAGGAGCTGCAATTACATTGATAACAGTAGCAACAATAGTGTAAAATGAATTTACATTGACTTAACTTACAGTAGTATGTGAGGATGTTGCTAATTGTTGTTTACGTTTAGGATGAGGGAAACGCCCAGTATCATGGTGAAAGCTGGATAGATGGTACAATAGTCAAAATTATATAAAATACACACAAATATGTGACAAGAAAAAGTTAAGAACAGAATTGAAAGCTAGAGAGAATTAAAAAAAAGTATAAAGAGTCCTCTTTGGTTAAATTTTGTCGAAGTACCCAACAAAAGGCGGAAGCTTTAATTTTTCACCTATATATACTATATATTATATGTTCTTAATAGTTTCTTGCACTTTTTCTTGTTCTTGTACAATTTTTGTCTGCCCTCTTTAAATAAACTAAAATAATTTTTTTAGTTTAATGCGGTTTTAGTCTCCCGCACATAGGTAAGACCTACGTAGCATCTTTTCCAAATTTGGATTACTCGTAGTTACTACTATTTGCTCGTTTGAGCATCATAGAGGTTTGTTACTTCGATCGTTTTGTCTTCAGATCTGTCTGTCTATATTTTTTTCTAGCTCTTCTGACTACATCACAAAAATGGTTACTTCTGTCTCCTACCGATGTCTTTGAAGCTTTCAATCTCAGAGCCTACAAAATCGATTTACTGAAAACAGATTTTGATCGTATAATAAGTTTCATTTCGATCTAGCAGATTTCTAACCTGTCGGTACGTCATCAATAAGTTTTGTTAACTTGTTGGCCTGTTAGAGTAACGTTTTGTCTTTGGGTCTATCAGTCTGTCAGGCTGTTGACTATTGAATCATATTGGAAAGATTTAATAGTGTCAAGATACGTCTTTTATACACTTCCCAAGTTTATAGCTTATCTACACATTTTTTAAGGGTCAGTATTTTAACAACAATTACCTAGACATTATTTTGGGGTATTGTTGGAAAGATTTTGATGTAGTTCTATTTTTTAATATTTTTTTAATCTATGCCCTATGAGAACACATGCCCTCAGTGTCAGGGTACCGTTAGAGATACCCTCTTGTTACTATATTATACGGGCCCTCAATTTCCTTACAAACTTGACTCCCTCATTCCTCCAGCGACTCTAAACCTCACTCACTGTATATCCATGGTTATAGCACTGTTATCACTAAACACTCTTCACTGAATTAGATCACTTTACCTCTAATCTGGATAAAGCCGTCAGGTCGGCGCTGTACTCGATGCTGACGTCAGCAGTTCCTCCGGAAGCGCCGGCTGACCTATAGGAGTACTTGGAGGTCCTCGCAACTGAGGCCGACGACATCTTGACTAAGTGTGGATCGTTCTATGTGGATCGCGGAGTGCGGTGTGGAGCGTGGAGTGCCTGCAAGTGTGGTCGGTCGACGGCGCCCGGCGTCCAGAGTGGCAGAGTCGTTCGTTTTAGCCGTCGCGACGCCCGGAATCGACGAAGGAGCGTCCCGCGGGAGCTAGCGCATGCGCAGTTCGGATTCGAAAGAGACGCGCGCAGTGAGAGCTCAGTCTCATCGCCTACTCCTGGGCGCTATTTTGGAGCGTGGGGTGGTATGTTCGTATCAGCACCATTAGGAATAGCAAGCGGCTAAAGGTCTTCTTACACTTCTGGTATAGGCAAGGCCTTAACGTCGCGTGCCTCTTTTTTCAACAGCCTGTCTGGAGGAGCATTCTTAAGACTTTCCGTCTTGGTTCATGTTGTGTATAGAGATGACTGGAAAATATTATAATAATAATAATAATAATAATAGACGTCATTACATTGTAGTATAGCCAAATGACAGACTTATATGGCGAAGTTTAGCATGCTGCTACTCTTACACTTAACCATATAGTCTCTAGCAGATGTTCAAAAGAATACACTATCCTCAAACAGATTTGGTTCATTACATCGAAAGTAAAATTTAGAAAAAGAGAAAAAGGCATACTTTCCAAACCCAAATGCACCAAAAAATTATTAATCTGAATTAAAGATGAAATAAAAAAGAAATGAATGATTACGTAAATTATATGTTTGGAGGGTTGAGTAATAATGTTTTAACTTTTTGTGGAAAGACAGGAAATGAAAATTCTTTATATACTTTAGGAAGGTCATTATAAATAATAGCAACATTGCAAGAAAAACTGCGTTTAAAAAGTGTAGACGTTTGCAGGGGTATTCTAATATTATTTTCTCTGAGAGTTCTACAGTGAACATCATTATTAAATGAAATTTTTTCCTTCAAGTAATAAGGTTTAGACGTGAGCAGCAATTTGTGAACAAAAACTGAATAGCGATACTTGACCATGTCATTAATTTTTAATCAGTTTAGAACGGGATATTTCGCTCATATATGATCAAATTTACGTAAACCAAAAATGAATCGTATACAATTGTTTTGAATAACTTGAATAACGTTTTCAGTGAAATTGTCTAAACAAGTATAGTATACGATATTACAACAATTTAGTATAGATATGACCAATGCTTCACATAGTTTTTTACGCAACTTAAAATTTACCTGTTTGCTATAAGAGTACGCAGCCGTAGGTATTTTTTCTGAGATAGACTTTTAACATGTTCAATAAACCTTAATTTTGTATCAAAAACAACACCAAGAATTTTTGAGAATCAGAAAATTGCAAAATTTGGTTATTTATCTTAATGTTCAAGAGCTGTGTTACATTGTATGTCTTTCTTTGTACGCAAAATAATAACATTTTAGATTTTTGTGGATTAATAAGTAGATTGTGATCTAAAGAGTATTTAATTAATTTATTGACATCGTTTTGTAAAATTTGAGTAGTATAATTGACATTATCTGGGTTAAAATAATGGAGCAACTGCGTATCGTCTGCAAATGACTGGACATGAGAATTGTCAATACTTTTGCTTAAGTCGAACGTATATATATATATATATATATATATGAGGAACAGAAGCGGCCCCAATACAGAGCCCTGAGGTACGCCTGAGGGAATTATTGTCACTTGAGACATTTCTTGATCGAGAAAAACACACTGAGTTCTTTGATGAAGGTAACTGTCGAAAAATGAAAGGGATACACTGTCAAGACCTATGTAATTTAATTTAGCAAGTAATAATTAAATTAAATTAATATTGTCAGTTTTTTTGTCAAAAAATGTATTTTTGGTGCATTTTTAAAGCAATTTTTCTTCAATCGTAGCTTGTTAACAAATAATAGTACCTCTCTAAAATTATATCAAGGTATTTCACTTTTATGGACGAACTGAGCTGGTGATTACTTTTTTATCAATTCCTATCTTCAAAAAATCGTTGCTTTTCTAGAAAATTCAATTTTTGGATCAATGAGCTTCGGCAATAACACGTAATAAACTTGATTTCGGAGGGTAATATTATACCGAGAAAACCAAATTTGTCTGACGACTTGAGTTCAATGTGTACAAGAGAGAAGCGCTAGAAATGTGTAGCAACACATGTTAGAAAGAGACAGAAGCCGGATCAAGGGCAAAAGGTCATCGCCACATTGCCACCAGAAAATATTCGCAGAGGTAATAGGTTAGGTAACTGTTAAACCCGAGAAGAAGTGTTTTAATTTATTTAAGAGTTATTATATTTTATTTCCACTGATGGTAACAAAATCAACATATCCTAAGCTATTGTGACATTTTGCGACAGCGCTTCGGTCGGAAAATGTAACAAATACCGTTACGAATACAAATTATCACTGCCTACGAGTACGCAGGTGAAAGCCGTTTCGTAGCAAAACGACACTCCCCTACGAGTTCTAGAGGGGAAAGGACCAAAATCGCTCATTTATGATCGTGTAGTTGGCAACCCTGTCCTAAAATGGAGCGCCGTTAGGACCGATCGGGAATTGATCCTAAAATTATTCACCACAGTTCACAACTCAGAAATGTGTTCGTTCATGATTATATATTATTTTGGCGAAAAGAATAATCTGAAGCATACTTCAATATGCATCTTATTTCAAGGAACTGGCATCGCGGCAGATTGCCGCGTCAGTACGAGGGATGTCTTTTAAGTTTTGCATATAGAAACATAGTAGGCCGCGCGGATCGAACGTCAGTACTGAATCTTAACCTCACTCTTTAGTAAACTTAAATTCAAAGTTTCACAACAATACGTGCAGTGTTCTCACTACAGTGAATTTTTAAGTGTCACCAAGTCATTAGAAAAATGGAATTCGACCGAGAACATTTTCGCGCCATAATTTATTACAACTTTCAGAGACAATTATTGCAACAAGAATACCTCGCTGAGTTACTGTCTGTTTTCGGCAATGAAGCGCCACATCAGTCGACAATTTCCCGTTGGTATGGAAAATACAAACGTGGACGGGTGAGTCTTAGCGACGATCCCAGGGTGGGTGCACCAAAAACGGCAGTCACCCAGTAAAACGTCGATGTTGTGCGCAAACTCATATTGAAAATAGACATGTGACATATCGCGAAATTGAAGCGTCCTTGAAGATCTCAAAGACCTCAATTCCAAAAAATTTACATGAAGAATTAGGAGTAAGAAAATTAGTTTATCGTTAGATACTCCACCTGTTGACTGAAGAGCAGAAAGCAGCCAGGGTTAATTGGTGTCAAAAAACGCTTGACCGTTTCAATTCCGAAAACTCAAAAAATTTCATTGTTAGTGGTATTGAATCGTGGATTTACTATTATGAAAACTAGGCAGTATTTAACTGAAGAAAACGTGGAATTACTGGACCATCCTCCATATAGTCCCGATCTAAGTCCTAAAGATTTATTTCCTTTCCCGAAAATTAAAAACAGACTGGGTGGTCAAAGGTTCCAGTCACCAGAAGAAGCAGTTGACGCATTCAAAAATGCCGTTTTGGATCTGCCAGCAAACGAGTGGAATAAGTGCTTCGAAAATTGGTTCGATCGCATGCAGATGTGTATTAATCTTCGTGGAGCATACTTCGAAAAACAATAAAGTTATTTAAAACTACCTACCGTGTTGTTTTATTTCCATATGCAAAACTTAAAAGACATCCCTCGTAACATATGTGTCTATAGACACTTCTCTCAAGTACACATTGAACTCAAAACATCAGACAAATTTGGTTCTCAGTGTATAGTATAATATATGTATCAGTCATTTGTTTCGTATACCAGAAATCAAACATAATAACAGAGTTTGGAAGACAAATAAATCCAGCAGTGGGCAATGTACATAGAAGAGTCATTCAAATGTACAAAACTCCAATCCATTTGAAAAACAAAGTTCTGATGGAAGTAGAAATAAGATACAACGAATTGAAAATTTGACTACGCCATTTTGTAGAGAACAAGTTACAAAGAAAATTTAATTTGAAATCGCATATCAGATAGATAGTCAGCAAAAATAAAAATTAATTTTTGAATCTAGTATGCGAAACAAATGAGTATCTGATAATTCCAAGGCCTGCTTAGGAAATTCTTTATGAAATAAATAAGGTTTGGAAATGTCAGTGCACATTTTTGGAATCCTAATGGAAAACGCTGAATTTCGAAACACTAAGCGGCATTTTCTAAATTACCTAAATACGCAACTTTGTCTCCATTCATCTTCGTATGCCTTACAGTTTCCGGGATCGCAATGGTGAGTGTCGAATTAGAAACACCCGGTATATGTACGTATTCTGAGCTATTTTAATCGATTATCAAGCATTATAGACATACACTTTTACCACGGCTTCAAAGGAATTAGGGCACCTGACGAACACGCTCATTACTGCAGTCCGAGAAATTTTTTTCCATGAATAGCTTTATTAGTGGACCTATGGATATGACAAAACCTACGCCACTCTGTATAGATAAAACTGCACTACATGGAAAATTGTACTGGAAGCCGCCACTTCTACTTTTTTCGATATTTTTGAGCATGGTAAAATAATTTTTTAGAGTGACCAGAATTCTCATATCTTTGTTTGTTTTTTTGACGATTTTTAACATTTCGCTCAGTTTCATAAGCCTACAATGTTCCTCTTCTCCACCTAAGTCACCGTAACTTCATGATGACTTTCGTATCTCAAAAAACGTTTCTCAGCAAAACTTCATTTTGGTTGGCGTTATATATTTCCAGTGTGATCATTCTAGCCATATATTTAGAGAGTTCACCGCAACTGCTGAACTGTTCCTATTCTGCAACAGTGACCTCTGAAATAAACAAAGTCCACATGCCTTAGATACGAGACGAATCGAACGTTCTAATTTTAAGATGATCTACACTCAGACTCCAATTATTCCTGCTGATGAATATAAATAATGGTGGTTTCGCACTTTGGGTTCGCGACATACTTCTGAACAGTGTGCGGGTTAAATTTAAAACGGGTCTACTGAATCAGATCATTTCGGGATTTTCATTTACTTAGTATACTCGTATATCATAGCGACCCAGAATATCTCTTCAGATTCTTTACGTCAGATTCGTATACAAAAAAAATAAGGTCAGATCGTAGAGCCTATACAGGGTGTTCAAGGGAAGGATTCCATGCATGAGAATCTCAGTTACTAAATTAGAAAAAGGTTGCGTTCTTTGCGTATTTACATGCCATTGAGAAACTTATAGATAATAAGTTCATGACTTACTGAGAAATTTGTCCAATTAATTTTTTTTCCTGACTTAATTTTAAGAATCGTCAAAAAACTAATGAAAATTTTCCATTGGTACCTTTTAGACACTACATAATGGTGTTTTTAAATTTTGTGTCCGACGATTGGTCTTTCATCAACTTTTTCTTTATAT